TATGCATGATCATGTCATTGAGATGACAAATATTGTAATAAGAGTTAAGTCCTTAGGAATGATTGTGAATGAGAACCTCTTTGTACAATTTATTCTTAGTTCATTACTGATTGAGTATGACCTATTTCAAATGAGTTATAATACCATGAAAGATAAATGAAATGTGTATGAATTGCATAGTATGTTGGTTTAAGAGGAAACAAGACATAAGAATCAAGGAAGTCAATCAATTTGTTATGTAAGACACCAAGGGAATCAATGAGTTGGAAAGAAATTTGCAAAGAAACATGATAAGGGTGAAGGGCATCTATGCAAATAAATAAATAAAAATCAAAGGGTAATAATTGCTATTTCTACGGGAAATCTAGACACTCATAGAAGAATTGCCCAAAATGTAAGGCTTGATTCGAAAAGAAAGATAAGCTTAATGCTTATGTATGTCTTGAAGCAAAATTGACTGAAGTTTCCCATAATACATGGTGGATTGATTCAGGATGTATGACTCATGTTTCTAATATGATCCATTGATTCATTACAATCCAAACCATAAGCCCAAATGAAAAGTTTGTCTTCATGGGAAATAGAGTGAAAGCTCTAGTGGAAGCAGCCGAGACTTATTGTTTAATCCTTAATATTGTACATCATTTAGATTTGTTGGAAACTTTTTATGTACAAAGTTTATCTAGGAATTTAGTTTTATTATTTAAACTTGATATTATTTGATACTCTTTTAATTTTGGTAATGGATGTTTCAATTTATTTAAGCATAATCATCTCATTGGTACTAGTATTCTTTGTGATGGTTTATATAAATTAAACTTAGATGATTTGTATGCTAAAACCCTCTTAAATCTACATCATAATATTGGTATTAAACGTAGTTTAGAAAATGAATGTTTTATTTTCTTGTGGCATAAATGTTTTTTCTAAAGAAAGAATGCAAAGATTAATAAAGAATGAAATTCTTTAAAATATATATTTTGCGGATCTAAATATTTGTGTAGATTATATTAAAGGAAAACAAACAAAACTCACAAAGAAAGGTGCTACAAGAAGCACTCAACTTCTTAAAATTGATATATGGACACCTTTTGATGTTAATTCTTTCAGAAAGGAAAAGTACCTCATTACTTTTATTACTATTCACAATATGGTTATGTCTATCTACTACAAGAGAAATCTCAAGTAATGGAGCCTTGAAAGTTTATTTGGATGAAGTAGAAAAACAATTAGACAGAAAGGTGAAAGTTGCCAAATCTAATAGAGGTTATGGAAGATATGATGAATTTGGGCAATGTTTACATGGACCAACCAATGAGGCTCTTGGTTGAAGGAAAGGAACACATGGTGTCCAAATTATAGAAATCAATATATGAACTTAAGCAAGCTTCTCGCCAATGGTATTTGAAGTTTAATGATATCATTGTTTCATTTAGATTTAAGGAAAACATTGTTGATCAGTGTATATACTAAAGGTCAATGGGAGTAAAGTTATTTTTCTGATTCTATATGTTGACAATGTCTTGCTTACAACTAATGATCTTGGTCTTCTTCATGAGACTAAGAATGTTTTCTCTAGTAACTTTGAAATGAAAGATATAGGTGAAGCAAGTTATGTGATAGAAATAAAAATATTTCGAGATAGATCACAAGGACTGTTAGACTTGTCTTAGAAAGCATATATTAATAAAGCACTAGAGAGATTTAGGATGGAAAAGTGTTCAGTATCACTTGTTCCAATTCAACAAGGAGGCAAGTTTAATCTCGTTCAATGTCCTAAAAATGACTTGGAAAGAAAACAAATGGAAGCAATTTCATATACATAAGTTGCTAGGAGTATTATGTATGCTCATATATGTAAAAATATGAGCATTATTGTTAATGATGACTGTTGAGTATTATGGTTATTTTGTATTAAATGATTGACACTTTGAATTCATTAGTGATGTTTATGATTATCTATTCTCTATGGTTGCATGCATATTTGTGTTAGAGTAATGTGAATAGGTATTATCTTAAATAAAGACATTATGTTTGATCAATTATGTGCTCATTATTGGTCATATTAAGGAGAAGACTAGTTTGTAGTACATGGAAGGGATTATGTCAATTAAAGTGATGTACAACCGTCATGACTCAAATTAGTTCATATTCTCAATTATGCAATTATGATGAACCCAATGTATAAAAATGATTTAGTCGTTTTAACACATATTATGTTAGTTTAATTAATTAATTTATTTGTCCATTATGTGAAATGTCACATGAGCCAAAAGGAAGAGTATAAGCTTATTATGTTTCATGTGAGAGGCATGTGATGTATTAAGGGGCTAATGAATAAATAATTAAGAATTAAATTGTAAATGTGCTTAATGAAACTATTTTTGAGAATAATTATTATTTGATGGGAATAATAATTTTAAAAGGTTATAAATACTCATTAACGTGAAATAATATCTCCTCCTTGATAGAAAATTATTCTCTCAAACCTTATCAATTGCAAAAGATAGAGAGACTATAAGGAATAAACAAAAGAAGTGAAATCTTGATTTCTCTCCTTTCAAGAAGATGAACATACTTTAAGATCAAAAGAGATTTCTATTATAAAGAAATGTATACTTTATTCTTTTATTATACAAGAATCATGGATTTTAAAGATTATTTTAATTCTCTATAATTGATAGTTGTAAAAAATTAGAACTTAGAAGTAATACTTTGTATAAGTAGCTAAAAGAAGTTAAAGGTATATAGGAGGAAAATTCTACCAACGAGCAATGCTAGGGTACCTATTTATATGTATGGAGGAGCATTGTGAGTGATACATTTAATTTTATTTTATTTAAAAAGTGTTTTTTTTTATTAGAGAATGACTTTTTTAATCATAATGAAATAGTGAATGTTAGTATACTCTTAAATCTTAATGTCCCGAACTAAGTGGTTGGTAAAAACCTAAATTGAACAAGGTTGTGAATCTCCCTCACCATGAAATGATTGCTCAAATGTCATCATTGTGTATGAAGGGCAATCAAAAATGTTGGTGAATACTTAAAATCATTTATGAGAAGTGTCATTGTTTTATCGTGATGAAATCACAAGGCGAATTCCCATGCATGGCATCATGATTGTGATATGGTCTTTCATTCCGTGGTAGATCTAAGAACTTAAAGTTAATGGTGACAAATTATTTTTGAAAAATAAAAAATAATAATAATTATTATAAAAAATGCATATACATATTCATAAGTTTTTTTTTATATTTTAAAGTGAGGGGTCCATGTGCACCCTCACCTCACTATAACCTAGTTTCGATGGTGGTTGCGTTTGTAATCGGGATTATTTAAAGGTGTTTTTTTACACATTCAATAAAAAATTATATTTTGTAAAATTACTATACTTTTCATCTATTTTCTTATTCTTTATTTTATAATAAGTGTTGTTCTATTTTTTTACACAAATAAAAAAAATCTAATAAATAAATGAAAGACAATAATTTTATAAAAAAAATTAACCTTATTATTAATCATTGGTAGAAATGATGCAACACAATTATATATTTTCAAAAATATATTATTAAGAATATAAATGATAAAAATAATTAATATTACATTATAAAACTAACAAACACTTATTTATTTTTCTTACACGACATTTAATTTGAAACGAAAAAAGTACTAGCTTTTTTTTTTTGTTTGCATAAAAAAAATCTAAGAAAATAGAGAAAATATTTAATACCATAATAAAAATAAATAAATAAATAAATTACCTAAAATGGAATAGCATTAATTCATTTTTTTAATTAAGGAAAATTATTTTTTTTCTCCTTATATTCAACACCGGAGGAAGGAACTACTCTCAAATTTGTAACTCTTTGAAATTATAGAAGTTAAAGAATAATTTACAAATATGAAGATAAATATTTAATATCCACCAAAACAAAGATAAATATTTAATTTTCCTAAAATTTTATGCCTAGCTTTTTTTGTTGACGATCTTTCAGACTTTCACCTTTGCTTTCAAATCTGAAAAAATCCCCTGGTGTGAGAGAAACTCCACGTGTCCACCAATTAATAATTTTTTTTAAAATGAAGATCATATATAGCAGTAGTACATGTAGAATAATTTTTTTAACGGAGAAAAACTACATTTACATCCGCACATAGTACACGTCCAAGAACAACACATAATAAATCATATTTGTTCGGACTATTTGAAGATATGATAGGTAAAACAATTTTATACTTATTCAAGGTTTGTAAGGAATTTGCAATGTACTTGCTTTTTGTGCACGCATGATACATGAGTCCTCTCTCCTTCTCCTTTAATTATGTGCGTTTATTTGTATTAAAATTTAATATTAAATACATTCTTATTTACTTGGTTTACGAATAAGATTAAATTTTTTGTTTTTTATATAACTACCACTAACTAAATAATAGCAGACTGAAAAAGAAAAATTTTCTGATAAACCTACAATTTAATTTTGATTTTATAATTAGGGGAATTTTGGTTATATAAAAGAGAACGTAGTTTTATTTTTTATATGGTAAATAAGGAAATTTGCAAATAGCTTCCATCTGTCTCCGTAACGTGATATTACATCCAATCTTACATCTTGGATACATTTTGCAATCAGAATTTAATAGAAGCAGCAATCATTCAGGATTAGAGAGTTGCACATCACAACCAAATAATTATCCATTATCACTCACGGCTTCCCTTCCCATGAATCTATTTCAGGGACCCATATTTTTGTTTCCCATGTAATTCTGGCCTTTCAAGCTTACCTAATTTGCCAAATAGGGTGACACAAATCCGCAAAATAATCTCACTTCACCCTCCAAGAAGAAGATATTTACAAATAACCCCGGCTTATTAGTTATTAAGCCTAAAGAAATGACAAATGTTACCAAGTGTTCATTATATAATTAAAAAAAAAAAAAATTTATAATTAATCTCTTAAGACACCTGTTAGTGTAATTTGTTATTTTGAAAAGGTGATTTGGAGAAGGGAGGAAGCAATAAATGGAAAAAGGTAATTGGATTGGGGCAGCAACAGCAAGGTTTGCATGTTCCTTGTGGCTCTTTGGGTGTTCCCAATCACACTTTGTTAATTTTGGGCGCTGAATAATTAATGTGAGTGTGGTAATGCATTTTGACATTTCAGCTGGCACACACAAGTCATATTTTTTGATGCACACAAAAAAGAAAAATGAAAAATTATGGGTTGTGTGTGTCTTTTGGTGGAGGAATGGTTGTGACCTACTCCTTTTAAGTAGGGAATTCCCCAAAAAAGAGTTTAGTGAGAGAGAGAAGAAAAAGAAGGAAGGAAGAGTAGTAGTAGTTGTTGGTGATGAGTGATGATGGAAAGACAGAAATGCAAGCTCTGTTCAAGGTCCTTCAGCAATGGCAGAGCCCTCGGTGGGCACATGAAGGCTCACCTCGCCGACACTAGTTCCTCCTCTTACTCCTCTGACTCCGACGCCTTGAGGGAGAACCCCAAGAAAAGCTTCAACTCTCCGTTTGCCTCTCTTGTCCAAGACAGAGAGAGCGAGAGCGAATCAAAGAACCCCACTCGCCAACGATCCAACCGCTCCTCCGAGGAACATGTCGCCATGTGCCTCATCATGCTCTCCAGAGACACGTGGCATGCGCCTCCTCCTAACACCTCCCGCACCGGATCAAACCACCTCTGCCTCCGCTGCAACAAACCCTTCCGCTCCTCTCGCGCCTTGGCCTCTCACTCAACCATTTGCAAAAACACTCATCACCAAACTCATACTAAGCTTTTTCAATGCCCCTTTTGTTACAAGCTCTTTGCCTCCGGTCAAGCCCTTGGTGGCCACAAGAGATCTCACCTTATTCCATCTTCAACTCATTCCGTTAAGTTGAAACAGAGCTTCATAGATCTCAACTTGCCCGCGCCGCCTGAAGAAGACAACCTTAGCCTTCTCTCTCATGCCTAGTTCCATCCCCATATTTTAATTTTTAATCTTTCCTTCTCTTTTTCCTTTTTTTTATAAAACTAGGTGCGGATATTTCATCTTGTTTATTCATAGTTCAGATGTTTTTTATTCTACAATGGTAGTTTGTTCCTTCATTTTTCACTTTCACTTCCCATAGAGTTACACGATGAATTGCTAGTGTTAGATACAGGTGAATTTCAGTCTTAAAAGGTAGTTTCAATGCGAATTCGGGGTATGGCAGGTTGTGGACCAATAACTCTGCCCTCTCAAGTACTAAAGCGACTCTGCGATTCTGTTTTAATGTTTTCCTTCTGTTCCACCCCTCTCTAGCTTGCACTTTTCGTTACAATGAATAAATAAATCGCTTTTTCTTGCTTCTATTCAGGTCTTGGCGTCAAGCATGAAAACAATGATTCCCAAGACCCAGTCAGAATACAACTATACAATTCATTTCTTTTCTGTGTTATGATGCTCAATGAGTTTCAGAGATTAACATTAACTAGTAGTATGATTTTAAAAGCCCTTCACAAATTATGAATAAGCTTATTATTGTTTTGTTGGTTAGGGATAGACATAGTTTTTTTTTTTTTTATTAACGCAGACTTTATCTTTCTTGAAAATAACGAAGAAGGGGAGAGGTTCTGTACTATTCTTGTCCAAGAATAGGTCAGATTTAAGGTTTGATAAGTATATTCCGATCAAATGTTCGTTAACTTCCTTTCTGTTTTTTTTTTAATTTTTAATTAACATATATTTATTATGAAACAAAATGAAAAAGAGTATAATTAAAAATATAAAATTATTCTGTAAAAAAAAAAAAAAAAAATTTATACTACTATTATAAAAGAATTGAGATAGTAAATTAATCAAAAGTAATGGATTGTTGTAACAACGAAGATTTGTTGTAAATAGTAATGAATTGAACAGAAAATTTATAAATAAATAAATAAAATGGGAGAGGCAGGGGCAGGGGGCCTTTTTTTTTTTTTTTTTCTGTGCATGTGATACGTTACTTCACGAGAATTTACCTGAAGCGTGATAGTGATTCATTAGAGTTTCTTATAAGAAGTTGAAGCGAACATGAAGTAAGTTATGGATCATTGATTTGGATCCTTTAAGATAGAGTGAAGAAAAGCAAAGAAAGTGGGAAAAATAGGACAAATGAGAAGCCAGTCCTGGTCCTAAGTAGCTTGCATTCCACGATGGTGCGTAAATGGGATTGGAGGGTGAAATTTGGCCATTAGATAAGATGAATAGATGACAAAATTTACGTTACAAAATTGTCGTCTATTCCCAACCTTTCTGCTGCAATGTGCTAATTGTCATTTGTGATAAACCTTACAAACTTCATTACCTGCATTCTCCGTGTTCTGAATGGCAACATATCTGTTTCCTAATCTACACGTATTACAAGTCATTTTGCATTTTGGCACCGGATACCAATTTTACCTTTTTCTTTTTTGGCACAGGTCCCCCCCTAATACTGTTAATTACATCTTTGACAAAAACAGAGGATTTGATACTTGAGTAAAATCGTCAGAGGAAAGTAGGATTTAGATTAAGTTATTCGCAAAACGATTATGATATTTGAGTCTAGAGAATCTTCCAACTAAGCAACATTTTGCATTGGATAACAACTACAACAGCAAAGAAACTTGGGGTGAAAAATATGAATGGAAATTAACATGATCACCATCATCCAACTTTTTTATTTCTCAAGGATTCCCATAAACTTGCATGTTATCAACATCATTCAACTACAACAAATTAACTCAATACTCTTTTATTTGGGAAAATTACAGTTTCACAAAATCTTGCAAATGAAATTTCCCGTGTAGCCAACCTAGATCTCTCTAGGTGCTTAACTACGATTTCTTTGAAAAACAAAGACTGACAAAGTTGAACCAAACTCACAATGTCATTTACCGTAAAGAAAAGAAGGGTTAGTGATAAAGACATCTAAACCATTTAGAGTCACGTGTATGACACTTGGTCAATGTTCCTTAAGAAAAATAAAAGGATTCTCATCTGTGACCAAAATCTACAGTGACCACTTATAAACTAAAGAGATAAGGGATGTCATCGTAATTTCTCAAATAATATGGAATGTTAGCGGAAACCCAAGTTAGGAGTACCATTAGTGAAGGTTAAAAATCCCCAAAAGTAGATGAGTCAAAGAGAATACTTTTCTCTTTCATTAATGGATCAAGCATTATTTGATGATCAAGTGTGGATAGTTGGGAGTTTTCGAACAATTAGGTTGGGTGCAGTAAGATCCAATAATTCATAATTTCTTAATCAAATTTTACTTTATTATTTAGTATACCATAAAAGCAAAAATTTAAGTGATCGGACCCTTTTTAGTTTTTAGCGTGAGAAATACTGCAGTGGATTTCGATCTACATAATAGAATAACTTTATCCTGAATATATATATATTTTTTTACAGTAACTTTATCTTGAATTCTTGATTGTTAAATTCATTTACAAAAATAGTTTTTGAATTGAGATGTGCCGGGCTTCATAATTATTTGTCTTTAATTAAAGACTTATATGTGTGATGTGTATGTTCCTAGGATCCTCCTAACTGGCTTTCAAAAAAATGATACTCCTAACTTCCCTAACTTCTGTTAGAACAACAAAACTTACAAGATTTCTTCTTCTTCTTTTTTTCTTTTTAAATATACAAAACTAGGAACTCGGTGAGAAGGAGAGAGATTAATCTTTATAAATCTCAATAACTTTTTTTTAATAAAGTTGTTTTTTTTGTACTTATCTCAAGCTACTTTTTTTTCTCGATGATCAGTTGAACTTGTGAGTTTAAGATCATGTCGTAGTTTGTGATCATAGACAACTACAACAAATGTCAATTTGGATGGATGCAGGTTAATATATTTGAGTCATCCTTGATCAACCTTCACACATAATATATACATTTCAAATTATCTAGACTCATGTCAATTTAATTTTATCTAAAGTCTTCTTAATTATTCTTAGGTATCATTAAATTTATTTGGATTTAATAACAATTTTATGTATATAAAATTTACCAAATTAGAATTTAAGATTTATGAAATAAAATAAACTATAAAATTATTAAAGTCGGTTTAATAATAAAAAATTATAATAAAATATATAAGATTTTAGATTCAACTTTTGTTGTGATCAATGTAATTTTTATCAATAAGAAAAAATAATAAAATATATAAGATTTTAGATTCAACTTTTGTTGTGATCAATGTAATTTTTATCAATAAGAAAAATTAAAATATTATTTATCTTAATTCATCTTTGTGAACTTTTTAATAATTAGAAGATTGTAAGAGAACTCCTTAACAAAATAAATTTGGATCCTCTTCTCTTCTGTAATCTTCTTTCTCCAGCCTCTCTCCAACAATAATAATAATCATTAAATATATTTAATGGCTCAAATTCAATATTATAAAAATTATTTAGGAAATTATATTAATTATATTACAAAATTAATCAAAATTATTATAATATTATTTAAGAAATCACATTAATTTTTGTAATACTATTTTTAGCTGTCTAATAATCAAAATTATTTAAGAAATATATAAAATTATATTGATAATAGTTAACATTTATTTTAAATTTTTATAAGATTGTAATAATTTTGTAATTTATTGCAGAGCCAAAAATATTATTAAAAAATTAATGTGATTTCTTAAATAATATTATAATAATTTTGATTAATTTTGTAATTTTGTAATTAATATAATTTCTTAAATAATTTTTATAAGATTGAATTTGAGCTAATAGATATATTCAATGGTTATTATTATTGCTGGAAAGAGGCCGGAGAGAGAAGATTGCAGGAGAGAATTTAAATTCGAGTTATAGAGAGGTAAAGTAGATATTTTGAGAGCCACAAATCGTCTTTCTTAATTTGTTGTTAGTAAGAGTAGTATTGTAGTTTATAGAAGGTGAATGATACGCTCGATATAGAAATAAGGTTTAATATAATATTCAGTCTTGATTTTTTAAGATTTTTTAATTAACTCTTTAGATTATAAAAAAAAATTGCAGTTAAACTTTTTTATCTTTTTATATTTTTGTAATTTATTAGTTTATGTGATTGGATATTTATTTACAATTTATAAGATTTTAGAAAACATTTTTGATACATATGAATAATGACATAGAATAATAATATTATATATGATAGTTTAGGTATACAAAATGCGGATATTAAAAATATTTTACAATATTTTAGGAATTTTAAATAAATTTCTAAATACAAAAACTAAATTACAAAAATAGAAAAAATATGAAAAATTTAATTATAATTTTTTATAGCTTAGAAACTTAATGAAAATTTTCAAAATTTTCAAGAATCAAGTAAAATATTAAACTTAGAAATAATTTATTTTTAGATTTAATATATTATAAAAATCAAATAATTTAGTATAATGTATGTATATAAATAAGTTCATAAATATATTAACAAATAATTTTCAAGTCAAAACATAATAGATAATATAATTTTTCATAGTGAAAAAGTGTCATGTATCCTTATTTATTAAAGAAAAAAATTGTATATTTTGAAATATAAAAAATAGCATAGAAGATATTTTAGTCATATTTTTAAACAAAAAAATTTAACAATAATACGTGTAATCTTAATATGTTTATATTTGAAGAAACTTACGTATACCAAAATACGTGTATGTATGTAACAATGTATGTTTTATTAAGTGTTAATTTCATTAAAATTTATGTTGTGTTGTTGAGAAACTGTAAAATTGAATAATTCTTTAAGAGTTTTAATTTTTTAGGAGTATCTCTAAGTAGAGGTTAAATTTGACTTGAAGGGGAAAGGTATTAAGAAATAGATTTTATAAGTTCATTTTTTCAAAAAGTCTAGAGAGAAGTTAGAGGAAATAACTATAATTTCTAAACTTCTTTTTTCTTTTTCCAACCCTTTCGAGAGAGTGAGGATCCCTAGTTGAGAAGTAGAGAGGTGATTCAAAGTCCATAAGAGTTGAGAATTTGAATTATTGAGGTGTCAATGCAGAGTTGCTCAAAGTCCTCTTTCTACTTTTTCCTCTCACTCAAAGTGATTTTCGGAGGTATCGAAAACTAGAATTTGAATCTTTACATTTAAAATGTGGCTATGTTGATGATGATAGAATGATGGAATTTTATATGTTAAGGGGTCTTGCATGTTTGAATATGCTTGCAAACATATTGAAGTGAATGATGGTGAAATTCCCTGTTGCATGTTATAATCCATGTTGATGAATGATAGTGCGAATCTTTTGGAGCTACCCTTGTGCAGTCGGTGTAGTATGCTACTTGATTGGTGACTAAGATTTATTTTCTATATTGTAGCTAGGATTACTATCTATCTATCTATATGTTATTATTATTATTATTATTATTATTATTATTATATATATATATAGCTCATACCCAAACCCTTCTGTCCTGACAGTAGTACTGGACCTCCGAGTCTAAGTGGCACACCTGAGAAATCAACTATTGTTGTCTATACCTGGTTCTCTTCGGAGTTCCTAAAGCTGTTCTATACCTGACCTGGTTGAGATAGGTCAAATGCTGGATTCGGTAGGGTTTATGCCACCTAGACTACTCAAATTCAGTTGTTGGAGATCTCCCCGTTGTATATGCATGACAACGTATTTAAATATTAGGTTGTATATTGTTGTTGTTGTATTAAAGTTGCTTCTAAGTTGTATGAATGAGTGGTGTTTTTATGTTGAATAGTATGGTCATTTGTGATAATGATTGTATGAATGAGTAGTATAGTGTTTCCTATACATGTATGATTGTTTATCGAATTCTAGCTTACCCTTCTATTTCCATGTGGTGGAACTGCGATGATCATACGGTGTATGGGAGCAGATCAGGACTAGGTTAGAGTTGTTCCCTGAGTTTGCTGCTAGAAGTCGATTTTTGGTACCTAGTGTCAGAGTTACCACCTTGGGTAACAATTTTTGTGCTTGACCGGCACTAGGAGATATTAGTTTTGGATAACTGTATAAATACTAATACTTAAAAATTTTATTGTTTATATATATATATATATATATATATATATATATATATAAACACTTGTTATGTGATTTAGTGTTGGACAAACTTTTATTGTGTATATATTATGATATGTATATTTAAGTTATGTAAGTATGTGAATCCTAGATAATTTAGTTTTGTTTTCTTTCCACTACTAATAATGATTTGTTAAGTGTAGTGACTTTGTTACATAATATTTTGAAGGCAGAAGTGTAAATAGTATTTTGATAATAAATATTTTAAAGGAAAGCTAATAGAATCTTTAACATAGAATTAAAAAATAGAGTGAAGTGTAATTTGTTAGGAAAGAAAAGTGTATATTTTAATATAAGATAATAGAACAAGATTATATCAAAATTTTTAAAAGTTGAGCGTAATTTATTCTAATAATAATTCAAATATTAAAAAATTATTTTTAAGAACCAGCTTTTTTTTTTTATATCATCTTTATATCTATTTTTGTATACGTATATCTTTATTAATATTATAACCAGCAACACAGTATCTATTGCTGCCATATCAAAATCTTAATTTGATTATACTATTAATTTAAGATTATAGTAATAAGTAAGAACATTATATACCAATAGAATTTTCTATTTGTATAAATACAAAAAAATTAAAAACACATATATATATATATATGAAAAATTATTAAATGATAGCGGTATAATTTTTATAAATTCAATTGTTGAATTATAATTTCATATAATCATGTATGTTTATGTCAAATTTTATTAAATTAAACAATAATTTGAAGGTAGTCAAAGTGTTTATATTTTAATATATTTTAAAATGCATATATTATGTCAATTTTGATTTATATAAATAAGGTATCAAATCATCTCGGATTAATATAGAATTTTGTATATATGATATAAGAGTAAGGAACTTTTAATTTAACGATAATTTTTTTAAAAAAAATTCTTTAATTAAAAGATATTGAGTAGTGTAATAGTTGGTAAAAGTCACATTGAAGAGGGATCCATTTATTCCAGAAGTAAGTCTATGTAAATCAACAATCTAATCGTTGAATTTAAAATTTTTAATGCATAGATCAAGTTTGTAAAATTTTTAAAAATTTTGAAAATTATTTGATACTTTGTTTTATTAATTTAAATTGATGCATAAAATGCCATTATAATTATCCATTAACTTGAATTAATGAAACGAAGTATCAAATGGTCTTTAAATATAAAATTACTTTGTTCTATAGCTCATTTTTTATATGAAATTTTAACGATTCAATCATTGAATTTAAAATTCTTAATTTATAAATTAAGTCTAAATTTTTTTGAAAAATTTAAAAATTATTTGATATTTTATTTTATTAATTCAAATTAATGTATAAAATAATTTTATAATTATTCGATAATTTGAATTAATGAAACGAAATATTATATAATTTTAATTTTTTTTTAAAAATTTGTAAACTTAATTTATATATTAAAAAATTTTAATTTAATAATTAAATCATGATATATATATATAT